TAAAGGACTAATATAAGAAAAAAATAACTTGGCCAGTGATAGGTCGATGGGAAAAGAGAGTCGTGTCCACCATTTCCTCCATAATGTCTTGTTTAAAAAAAGAGAAGAAGGTATTTCATTCCATAGCCCATGAAAACATCCTTTGATGAGATCTTTATTTTCCTCTCCTCTGGTAAGAAGAAATTTAACCACGAAGTTCCTACCTTTACTTACATCCGTGTTTTTTTTAAATCTCATCTCATATTCCTTTCTAACTTTTATAAGAATGCTGAAGGGTGGGTCATGCAAGATATAAATATATCTCACAGCTGCTGCTTTGTTTTGATTAATGCACTTAGTTACTCAGGCAACTGTATGAGGAAGAAGAAAATTATATCTGCATCAGAAGAAAAAATGACAGCATTTGGGCTTATATTTCTCATGATGTACTATCTCCTATTCTAGGGAAATATTAAAAAAAACTTGGAATTTTCCCATCATCTCGCAAATGGCAGTGACTTCTGAGTGAAATAATCTTTATAATTTTCTACTTAACCATTGCTGTTTTTTGGTATACTTCTTCACTGTCCCGTAGGCTCAACCACAGCTTCTTTGGTGAGGTCTGAATGCTAGCCTTGGGCAGGAAGTGCCCCTTTCTTGTATACTGTCCCTTGTTCCAAGATACCATTTAGAGTTCTAGTTATATTTTTATAGTTACTCTCCTTCCATAGCTTAATAATTATTTATATTAAATTTTGGTTTAATTGCAAAAAATCCCGTTTTTTCAGTGTACTGTCTGATTATCCTGTATGATTTCTGAGCTGTAGAAACTAGTCTAGATTAGTGTACTTAGTTAATGATTCAGAGTTTTAAGTCCTGAATTAGTTTTACAGCCTTGGGGCAAAACTGTTTCTAACTTTCCTGCTGAAACTCAACCACTTATCTACTGCTAACAGCTTTTTCAAGAATTGTACTTATAAAACGTGAACAATTAAGAGACCACCCCAAGAGGTAACCACAGGTGAATCTGCTGTGATTTCTTTTTCTTTTTTCTTTTTCTTTTCTATTTTTTTCTTTCTTCTCTCTCTCTCTCTTTCTCTCTCTCTCTCTCTCTTTCTCTCTGTCTCTTTTTTTGCTATAGCTTGTTAGGAAGTGTGTGAGGAAAAATTCACTGTGGAAGGAGGGAAGCAGAAGTGATGCGGCAACACTGAATGAGGCAAAAGCATTCATAGAAAGGGAAGGATACTTAGATGCTGGTTACTGTGCCTTGTCACAATAACTATACAACAAAAGGCAGTCTTAATCTTACCTATGAGAGAAGAAAAGAATCACTTAAGAGTTATAATTTATTTATGAAACGCACTTTATTTTTTTAACAGAAAAGAAACAAGATTCTCTAGGAACAATACATTAACTGACAAGCAGCTATTTAATGATTTCAGAAAATACTTGGAATTCTCTAAGTTGGAGAATAAATATATATATATATATATTATAAAGTATGTTCAAAATTTAAATATTGTCTCAGTTATTGTTTTAGAGAAAAAGAAATAATGTAGAAGATTACTTCAGGCCCTGTGTTTGGATTTCTCAGCCTGTGATATACATGTACACACTTTCAAGTTTAAGCATCACTACTCACATTACCCTCCATTTTCCTTCATACTTACACCATTCTTTGCTTCTTTGCTTTCTCTGTGAATTTATATATTCCTTTTCCTGAAAAATTTCTATTTTCAAATCATTTATGTTCACATGTTATTTAGGATGCAATCTGTCACTGTTCTGCCCATGTATTTCACAGACCTATTCATGTGAACTAAGATTTTTAGCTTTGTTCATATTGTGAGTACCTGTAAGTTGTTGTGCGTGTCTGTGTGTCTCTTTTTTTGTGTCCCTATTTGTTTTAGTTTTCAGTTTAGAAATAAGCTGTGAGTGTAAGTAAACAAATCAGAAGATAAGGTTCTTTTTATAAGAATATTTAATTTGAGCTCATTTTTAACCCAATGTAAATACTTTGTGATCATAAATAAATTTGATATTTTTCATCATATCTTTTTATCTATACATAAAATTATTTGGATTGCAAATTTTTATATAACCACATAAATGGAAATGCTCAAAAGAAAACTAAAGCTATTTGTTTGCTGAAAGATTATTTGTTCCACGGAAATCTTCTGTAGCTATGTTAGAAACTTTTCAAGTTACTATTTACTCAAATGTCACCGTCGGGTGAATGAGAAGAATTCAAGAGTTAAGAAGTTATTTTCTGTAATAGGGAAAATATTTGGATGAATTACGAAGTGAAAAAAAGCCTTATATTTACTTTTTATAAATTTTTAATCTGATAAAATGTCAAATTGACAGAGAAGTTGCAAAGGTAGTACAAAGAACTGCCATTAGCTTTTTAAACCAAATTCAGCAATAGTTTACTATTTACTGTAAATAAGTATTTACTGAAATATTTATCCTATTATCTATCAACTACTTATGTGCCTATCTCTTCATGTATGTATCATCTATGTTTCTGTGTATCTATCTAGCTATCTATCAGTCGTCTGTATAGGTATCTGTCTGTGATCTATCTATCATTATGTATTGTCTGTCTATGCAATCTTTTTCTGGACCATTTGAGACTAATTTGGAAATATCCTGTCCTTTTGCTGCTAAATACTTGTGCTTTTTTCCTCTAAGAACAGAGACATTATTTTACACAACCAGTTTATAGTTAATAAGAAAATTTAATATGAATATAATATTACTATCTAACCCTGGTTCATATTCATATTTCTCCAATTGTCTCAATAGTGTTAACAGCTATTTTTCCCCAGTCCAGAATCCCACATTTAGATCATGTCTTTTTGACTTCCTTTAATCTGTACCAATTCCTCAGCTTTTAATTTGCAGTCATTGAATTCAATATTCTTGAAAAGTGTAGGCCAGCTATTTTGTCCAACTTGTCTCAGTGAGAGTTTGCCTCATATTTCCTCATTTTTAAAGTCAAGCTGTGTATTTTTGGCATGAATATGACCGAAGTGACATTTATTTCTGTTCAGAGCGTCATGTCAGTAGTCATAGGATGTTGGTTTGTCTTAATACTGATGATGTTAACATTGATTACTTGGTTTTGGTGATGTCCAACACGTTTTTCTATTGTAAAGTGTACTACTTTTCATTTTGTAGTTAGCAAGTAATTTGAGGGGAGATATTTTAAACTATGTAAATATCCTATTTCTCATCGTATTTTCATTCATTAGTTTTTAGCATCTATTTATCTTTTTCTAACTCCACTATTTCTTCTATATTTATTAATTAGGATCCTGTTGAAAGGAGTAGCTTTCTCTTCATTATTTATTTATTTATGTATTCTTTTTAAATTTATCAGAATGAGTGTGGATTCTTATTTCTTTCAGTTCACTAGTATCATAGTTTCTCTTAATGCCCAAATTGTCTTAGAATTGAACAGTAGTAGGACCTTCAAAATGGCTTCTGTTTCTTTCTCATGTGCCCCTATAGTTCTTGGAGAATTTCTTTCTTCTTTATTGAAGTATAGTTGACTTACAATGTTATGTTTGTTTCAGGTGTACAGCATAGTGATCCATTATTTTTGAAGACTGTACTCCATTATAGGTTACTTAAGATAATGACTATAATTCCCAGTGGCTACCAAGTAAATCCTTGCTGCTAATCTATTTTATACATAGTAGTTTTTATCTGTTAATCTCATACCCCTAATTTGTCCCTCCTCCCTTCCCTTTCCTCTTTGGTAACCACAAATTTGTTTTCTGTATTTGTGAGTCTATTTCTTTTTTGCAATACATTAATTTGTATTAATTTTTAGATTTCACATGAGTAATATACAGTACTTTTCTTTCTCTGACTTATTTCACTAGGTATAATATTCTCTAGGGCCATCTGCAAATGGCAGTATTTTGTTCTTTTTTATGACTGGGTAATATTCTATTGTATATCTACACCACATCTTAATCCAATCATTTATTGATGGGCACTTGGGTTGTTCCCATGTCTTGGCTATTGTAAGTAGTAGTACTTTTATGAACACTGAGGTGCGTTTGTTTTCATTTTTTCCAGATATATATCCTGGAGTAGAATTGCTGGATTGTATGGTAGTTCTATTTCTAGTTTTTTGAGGCACCTCCATACTATTTTCCACAGTGGTTGCAATAATTTAATTCCCATTAACAGTACAAGAGTTCCCTTTTCTCTACATCCTCTCTAACTTTTGTTATTTGTAGACTTTTTGAAGACATTGTGACAGATGTAATGTGATATCTCATTGTTGATTTCATTTGCATTTCTCTAATAATTAGTGATGTTGAGCATCTTTTTATGTGCTTGTTAGCCATCTGTATATCTTTGGAAAAATGTCTCATTAGGTCTTCTACCCATTTTTTGATTGGGTTGTTTTATTTTTTTAATGTGGAGTTGTATGAACTGTTTGTATATTTTGAATATTAACCCCTTGTGGGTCACATCATTTGTGAATATTTTCTCCTGTTCTGTAGGCTGTCTTTTCATTTTGTCTGTGGTTTCCTTTGCTGTGCAAAAGCTTTTAAGTTTCTGGCGTTCCATTTGCTTATTTTTACTTTTATTTCTTCTGCCTTAGGAAACTGATCTAAGAAAATATTTCCATTAGATATGTCAAAGAGTGTTCTGCCCACATTGTATTCTAGGAGTTTTATGATTTCTTTTGTTGCATTTAGGTCTTTAACCCATTTTGAGTTTATTTTTGTATATGGTGTGATTAAATGTTCTAATCTCATTGTTTTACATGTAGCTGTGCAGTATTCCCAGCAACACTTATTGAAGAGGCTGTCTTTTCTCCATCGTATATTCTTGCCTCCTTTGTTGTAAATTAATTGACTATAGGTGCATGGGTTTATTTCTAGGCTCTCTATTCTGTTCCATTGATCTAGGTGTCTGTTTCTGTGCCAATACTATGCTGTTTTGATTACTGTTGCTTTGTAGTATAGTTTGAAGTCTAGGAGAGTTGTACCTACACCTTTGTTCTTTTTCTCAAGATTGCTTTGTCCTTGAATTTCCTTTTTTTTTTTTTTTGAGTGTATGTGGTTCTTTCCTCAGGTAACAAGAAATGAATGACAATGGACAAAAACAATGCAAGTTCTGAAGGCTACTTTGTTTTACTGGGTTTTTCTAATTGGCCTCATCTCGAGTTAGTTCTCTTTGTGGTTGTCTTGATGTTCTACCTGATGACGTTGATAGGCAACCTGTTCATCATTATCTTGTCACGACTGGACTCCCATCTCCACACACCCATGTATTTCTTCCTCTCAAACCTCTCTTTTCTGGATCTCTGCTACTCTACCAGCTTTATCCCTCAGTTGCTAATTAACCTCTGGGGCCCAGACAAAACCATCTCTTACACTGGTTGCATGGTTCAACTTTACTTTTCCCTTGCACTGGGAACCACAGAATGTGTGCTACTGGTGGTGATGTCCTATGACCGTTATGCAGCTGTATGTAGACCCTTGCATTACACTGTCCTCATGCACCCTCGTTTCTGCCATATGTTGGCTGCGGCTTCTTGGGTGAGTGGTTTTACCAACTCGGCACTTCATTCCATCTTTACCTTCTGGGTACCCCTGTGTGGACATCGCCAAGTGGATCATTTCTTCTGTGAAGTTCCAGCACTGCTGCAATTATCATGTGTTGATACCCGTGCCAATGAACTGACCCTCGTGGTTATGAGCTCCATTTTTGTTCTCATACCTCTCATCCTCATTCTCAGCTCCTATGGTGCCATTGCCCAGGCTGTGCTGAGGATGCAGTCAACAACTGGACTTCAGAAAGTCTTTGGCACATGTGGAGCCCATCTTATGGTTGTATGCCTCTTTTTCATTCCAGCCATGTGCATATATCTCCTACCATCATCAGGAAAGTCTCAAGATCAAGGCAAGTTCATTGCCCTGTTTTATACTGTTGTCACACCTAGCCTCAACCCTCTAATCTACACCCTCAGAAACAGAGATGTAAGAGGGGCAGTAAAGAGATTAATGGGGCAAGAGTGAGCCTGTATACTTGTGACATTAACCATATAATGGAGACTGTCTTCACCAATGGTTCCTCCACCATCCTTTCATCAACCACTCTTTGATTCACTCCCTCTATCAGCACTTATTGATCTTGTGCTCTCAGGAGGTCACAGAGTTCGTGGTAGCAAATGTGAATTAAACAGTCTGCCTAAATACCAATCACTCACTAGTGGAAACAACAGCTATGTGAAATCAAGAGCAAACATCAATGTTAAATTTTTTCAGTGCATAAACTGAATTAAAGAGTATCTTTTTCTTAATTGAAAATGAGACATGAAATTGTTTTAAGAATGGCTAAAAGAGCAGGTTATAATTCCTATGGAGAGATGATATTCTTAATTTTAAGAAACCTAGAATAAATCTTTTAATTTCTCGCCTTCTAGGCCAAATTCATCATTAAATTTGTCTTCTTTGGCTTAATTAAAGATATAGGGAAATACCTTAAGTCCTTTCTCCAACACTGTTATTCTCTTTTGAAAGTAGTTATGTTTGAGAGGAATTTTGATCTATATTCTTTATTATACCATTATTAACAGTGAGAGAACAAGTTTTATGAATCATAGCAACAAGGCCTCTGAAATAATGCAGAAAATGTAAGCATTTCATATTTCTTATTTTTCAAGGCAGTGAGAAGTGTAAAGGAGGTGGAAATATCTTTTAAAGCTGTGCTATACAGCTTTAAAGTAACAATCATTATACGTTAGATATTGTTATGTGAAATAAGGACTTGGAACACCTGTATAACCCAAGAAGCAGTACAGAATATCTGAGGTGAGTGAGTACCAGGCTTTGAAAAATGACTTGATAAATCTGACGGGTAGTTGAAAGAATAACATGAAAATATATTGGGAAAATTTTGTTTTAAAACCTGTATGCAAAATGTTAGTTTTTTTTTCTTTTTAAGCTTGATCTGATTTGAATATTTGTGGTTGGTATGTACATTATGAAAATCAACTTATATATTTTCCAAATAAAGACATGTGTTTTAAATAAAATAATAGTTTTGTTGCCTATATTATTGCTACCATCTCCAACTGAAATAAGTGTACTATGTATTAACACTTTAAACTGACACCATATTGGGCTAAAGTAGAGTAAGGCTCAAGGATAATTTAATATAAAGTAAAATCTTGGCAAAAGCCTGAGTTTTGTATGGTAACTCAAATGTCAGTTGTAGTTTTTGGGGCCTTTAAAGTTTAGACATGATTGATTCAATGCTATTTCCTAAAGTGTTAAAATGGAAAACACTTCCTAAAACTTCCCCTCAGTTTCCTGTGTGGCTTGCAATTACATTTATTATGGTATCTTCATCTTCTCCTTTGTGTGTCTGTGATTCTTTCTTTATGTACAACTTGACATAAACAATGATATTCATTTGTCATCAACCTACTGTCCAAGAAACCAAGAATCATGTATATAAAAGAATTTTCAGTAAATAATTGGGGCTACATAGAGTGAAGCATCGTGGAGCTAAAATAACTTTCAAGAACAAAAACATAGCTTAGTTCTTCGAACCATCTTGCACTTCCGAAAATTTTACTGTTTGGGACATCTCATGTAGAACCCTAATCTCTCACTATCTAACTTTAAAAATTTCTCACCTCCTTCCCTTTTCAACTTGAAAAACATTAAAGTATCTTTTTATGTATATAAACTACTTTTCTTAGAATGCTATAATTACAACACATATGATATTGAATCCTATCCACATTACCAGGATGTTCTATTTAATTTGTAATCTAAAACAAGGGTCAGTTGGTAAAATTCCCCCAAAGATTAACACAGAAATTATTGTATTTATTGTGTTGTACTTTTCAAACCAGTTTCGTGAACTTTATGCAATTTTATCACAAACCACAATGAGATATCATCTCACACCTGTCAGAATGGCTATCATCAAAAAGAACACAAATAGCAAATATTGGTGAGGATGTGGAGAAAAGAGAACCCTGATACATTGTTGGTGGGAATGATTTAAACTGGTGCAGCCACTGTGGAAAACAGGATGGATGTTTCTCAGAAAACTAAAACTAGAACTACCATATGACCCAGCAATTCCATTCCTGGGTTTAGATATGAAAAAAACAAAAATACTAAATTGAAAAGATACATGCATCTCAATGTTCAGAGCAGCATTATTTATAATTGCCAAGATATGGAAGTAGCCTAAGCTGCCCATCAGCAGATGAATGGATAAAGAAGATGTGATGTGTATACACACACACACACACACACAAAATGGAATACTACTCAGTCATAATAAAGAATGCAGCGATGTGGTTTGACTTGGCATTATGCTGAGTGAAATAAGTCAGACAGAGAAAGACAAATACTGTATGATATCACTTACATGTGGAATCTAAAATATACAACAATAGACACTGACTTTGGCTTCCCAGGTACACTCGTTGTCTGCTCTTTTTCTGGCCTCAGCTTCTTATATTGTTATCTCTGTTTTACAGATGTGGGGATGGAAGGTCACTGGTTCTCATGTGCTATGACAATGTCAAGTGATTTCAAGCATAATACATTTTCAGTTACAAGTCCACCATATGCCAACGGTAATTCAACAATTAAAGTAATAAAATTTATAGAAAGAAAATACCACAGAGACATACTGTAGACCTTCAACTGATTTCACAATGTTAATATTTTACTATGGATGGTTTGTCATTCTGTCTATAACAATATAATATTAACACATATTTAAAATATTTTTCTGAAATTTTATGGAGTATAATGCACACCCACCCTTAAGTGCTCCTGAGAGTATTTCCTAAAGATCTACTTCACAATCACAGATTATATTTGTGTGTTATGTCTTTTAGTGTGTCTTAATCGGGAAACATTTCTCTGTCTTTGTTTTCAGTGAGCTTAATGTTTTTGAAGAGTACAGGCCATTTTTTAGTTATAATATCTTTCGATTTAGGTTTGCCTGGTGTTTATGCATAATGGGAATGTTCATTTTTGACAGTTATACCACAGAAGTGATACTGTGTCTTCCTGAGCGCATCCTATTAGAAGATACTTGGTTTTTATTTATTCTGTTACTGGTAATATTCTATCAGTGATATTAACTCTGAACACTTGGTTAACATGCTGTCTGCTAGGCTTCTCTACTATAAAGTTACTATGTTTATAGTAAACAAAGTAGTTCATAAGTACCTTGTGGGCAGAATATTTAAATTAAGTAGAATTCTGTTTTGTTTTAACTTTCACCCACTAGTTTTATTTATTTACATTTTTCTTTTTTCTCCAGCTTTATTGAGATATCATTGACATACAGCATATGTAAGTTCAAGATGTACAATGTGATGATTTATACATGTATATATTGCAAATGCTTACCACAAAAATGCTTAGTTTACCCATCTAACCCCTTACTTAGTGTAATTTTTTTTGTAGTGAGAATATTTAACATCTGCTCTCTTAGCAACTTTCAAGTATATAATACAATATAGTCACCCTGTGGAAATTAGGTCCCCAGAATTTATTCATCTTAAAGTGAGGATTTTGTACTCTTTGACCAATATTTTCCATTTCTCCAAATCCTAGCCCCTGGCAACTGTCGTTATTTCTCTGAGTTTGGCTTTTTTGATTCCACACATAAGTGAAAACATAAAGTATTTGCCTTTCTCTTTCTGACTTATTTAAGTTAGCATAGTACTTTCAAGGTCCATCCCTGTTGTTGCAAAAGACATGATTTCTTTCTCTCTCATGACTGAACTTCATTTTATATATACGTATATTATTAAAATATATAAAATCTTGTTTATCACTTCATCTTTTGATCAACTTAGGGTGTTTACATGTCTTGACTATTGTGAACAATGCTGCAATGAACATAAGGGTGCATGTATCTCATTGATATTCTGCTTTCAGTTCCTTTGAATATATACCCAAAAGCATATATACCAGACTCCAGTATATATACTGCGATGTCAACTTTTCTGTATCCTTGGTACCCCCACATCCTCTCTAGAAAGGGAGCAAGGGGAGGTTTCAGGGGGATTGAGATTTCTCTGGGGAAAATTTAAAAACGGAGGCTTTGACCCTCAATCCCCAATATTTTTGGACTTGCAAACTCAGAGGGGCTGATCTCCTGTGATCCCAGCTTCCCCTCCACTCTTTTCCTCCCTGGCCCCAAATCTTGGTGTTAACTCCCCAACTCTGCTTTCCTTGTGCTTCATCTTATGCTAGTTTTCTCATAGCACAGATTAACACTTTTTAACATCAGAGTTGTGAGAATATAGGTGTTCTACGTATAATATTTTAAATGTCTAAATAAAGAATTACAAAGAAATAGAATTGTTTGTTAAAATATCAGTTCAAATTAAAATTCACTCTAATAGTAATAGTAGCTAACATGCATTGAATAATTATGTACTAAGCACTGTGGAAAATGTTTATATGTTTTTCTTATTGAGTTCTCACAACAATCAACACCACTGAGATACTGTTTTCTGGTACTCCTGTTAAATAGAAGGAAATATCCAATTGCTCTCTTAAAAGTAGAATTTTAAAAATGTAATCGTATTATAATACACAGTTTCCATACCAAGATACTAGAAATAAAAATTTTAAAGTATTCATTAATTTATAAACGCATGATGTACTTTTTTTAACATCAGTAAGTCACTTATTTGGTGTAGACCAGCATCACAGGTAATTTCATTTTTAAAAATGTATTATGGCAAAACTTTTGACAAGACACCAAGGGAAATTATTGATGAAAATGTTTTGAAAATATTCAATAGTTTTGTTAAATTTTCAGAGTTTAGGTGGTTACCTTTCGAGTTAAGGTTTGAATGGTTTTCAAAGATTAGTTTCAATATTTTTGCAGGGCTAAACTTGGCCTTGATTTTAGTGATATCAGGCAGACATTATGCAAATTAAGAAAAAATGTACAGTTTCGCTTTTATGTACTCCATTTTAAAAGATGTTTCATGCTTCTCATATCCGCCATATGAGACTACCTCTGACAAGTTATCTCTCAAATGTGGCCCTTAGCATCATGAGGAATTGGGGAAGAAGTTTCAGGACCACTCATTTTCTTCCCTATAAACACAGCTTAGAGCGTGGTTATCAGTGATGGTGGATCTATAGAGTTATTGTTATCCTAGTACAACAGTGTGGAGTCATGTTGAAGGTATTCCTCAGAAACTGTTCTAACTAGGACAACTCCTTGAAGGGCATTAATTGCTACTTTGGGATTTACCCTCCCAGTGGCCCCAGTCAAGGAAAACAAATCAGAGTGTTCTTTTGTTTCCATAAAGGCTCCATTTGCTCTAGGAAAAGGGGTTCATCCCCTGACATACTCAGTGCTCTAATGAGTTCTTCCTTCCAGCTAAAACCAAGTCTTTTGGTAGACTCCAGACTCTCTTGTGTAGCAATGATAATCATAATACTTTCCAGACTCTGTTTTCCTATTTTGATGTGGTAAATTAGAATATATGGTATAGGCAGCCATTTATGGTGGTGATTTCAAGTAGATGCATCCACACATAAAGAGGGCACGGGTTGGGTAGACAAATACAGGGAATGTAGCCAGACACAGGAAGGACAGACGGGGAAGGAGTTGTTTGAGTACTACTTGAGCACTAGGTAAACGTGTTGAAGGACTAATATAAGAAAATATCGATGGGAAAAAGAGACTCGTGTCCACCATTTCCTCCATACTGTCTTGTTTAAAAAAAGAGAAGAAGATATTTCATTCCATAGCCCATGAAAACATCCTTTGATGAGATCTTTATTTTCCTCTCCCCTGGTAAGAAGAAATTTAACCTTGAAGTTCCTACCTTTTCTCTACTTACATCTGTTTTTTTGTCTCTTATCTTGTATCCCTTTCTAATTTTTATAAGGATGCTGAAGGGTGGGTCATGCAACAGATACATATATCTCACAGCTGCTGCTTTGTTTTAATTAATGTACTTAGTTACTCAGGCAACTGTATGATGAAGAGAATTATA